TAGAAAAAGATGTCTTAAACAGGATATATAAAACAGACACACCTGATAAATGGACCCCAAATAATTAGCTTTTGTGCATCTAAATATTAAAGAGTGAAAGGCAGTTTCAGTGGTTGAAGACATTTGTAAACCATATAATTGGAAAAGGGCTTATATTCAGAACATTTAAAGAACTCTTTCAAATCAGGAGGAAAAAGACAGAATCCAGTAGAGAAAACAGGCAAGAGACATGAACAAGCATTTCACAAAGTTGGCATCTAGTGGCCAATAACATAGGAAAATTAAAATGAAATCTCAATGTTACACTACTCACTACACATCTACCAGAATCACTGAAATTAAGAAGCCAGATAACTATTGGTGAGGCTATGGAGTAATAGGCACTCACACTCTGTGGATGGAAATATAAATTAGCAAAACCACTTAAGAAACCAGTTTGGCATTATTACTGAAGTTGAAAATATATATGCATTCTCCATGACCTAGCAATTCCACTCCTAAATGTAACCCCAAATAAATTTGTTACATATGCGCCAGGAGACATGTCTAAGAGTATTCATAGTTGCATTTGTTTCTAGAAGCTCCTAAAAGCTCCAAGGATAATGGCACAAATGTCCACCAACAGGAAAACAGATAAATTGTGTAATGTTTATGGAGAACACCGTATATCAGTGAAATTGGATGAACTCCACTTACATGCAACAGTATGGCTGAGTCTCAACAATACAAAACTGAGCAAAAGAAGTCAGGTACAAAATGATTTGTCTTGCCTAGTTCTATATAAATGTTTTAAAATAAGCAAAGAATTCTCCTGTAACTTTCTATTTATATAAAGTTCAAAAATAGGCAAAAACAGTACTTGGGGATTCGTAACTATACGTTAAGGTATAAAGCAAAGCAGGGTAGTAATTACCATAAGGTTGGGGTCATTGTCACCCCTGTGGGCAGGGGCAGTTGTGACAGACGTGCAGGATTGGTGTGTCAGAGCTGAGGGATGGCAATGTCCTATTTCATGATCTGGATGGCACTTTATAATAAGCTGTCTAGTTGGCTTTGTGTGTTTTTCTGCATGTTATATTTCACAATGAATTTTTAAAAAATAAAAAAGCCCCCTGCCTGAGGCCCCAACCTTGCCTCTTCTGAGCCTCTCTTCCCTGCTCTTCTCTCCACCAGGGGAACTTCCTCTCTGACTTCATTTTCCCCAGTTTCCCAGCTCCCACTCATCACACAAACTGCTCCCCATCCCACCCCTGGTCACCAGTGACCTCCTGGTTGAAAAATCACATGAACTGTCTTTGCTGCTAGCCTTGTAGTTCTCTTTTCCCTTGGCTTCCCCAGACCCTTCCCTCTCCTGGTGCTGCTCCCCTTTCCCTCCTTGTGGCCTCTCTGCTCCAACCTCTGACTGCTCTAACTTTCCAGCTCCTGAAGTACTGGGGCTTCCTGGGTTTCCTTCCTCCTGGTGTCATCCATGCCACTGGCTCATTGTTGTGTGATCAGCCCCCAAATGCATGATGTTCCCTTCTAGACTCCAGGTGCCTTTATCCCTAGAGCTTCCTGCCTCCTCTCCATTTTCTTCTAGGGGTATGAAATCACCCTAATTTCAACCAACAACCTCAAAATGAACTCATGGTCTTCCTTGCTCCAGCCCTATTTCTGTCTTTCCAGTCTACATAAAGAAAATCACTTCTAAGTTGAGATCTCAGGCTAGAAATGTTTGACTCTCTTTAATCTGCCCCAGCCCTGAGACATACTATTATTTATGTTCACACTGCATGCTAGGCACTTGCTATGGTCTGAATGTGTCTGCTTAGCTACCCTCCCACCCCCTGCCAAATTCCTGTTTGGAAAATCTAATGTACAATGTGACAGTATTAGGTGGTGGGGCCTTTGAGGTGATTAGGTCATGAGGGCAGAGCCCTCATGAATGGGATCAGTGCCCTTATAAAAGAGACTCCAGAGATCTCCCTTGCACCTTCTGCCATGTGAGGACCCAGCAAGAAGATGGCTGTCCATGAGGAAGTGTGCCCTTGCCAGACACTGTTCTGCTGGTGTCACAATCTTGGATTTCCAGGCTCCAGAATAATGAGAAACAAATTTCTGTGTATAAGCCACTCAGTCTGTGGTATTTTGTCATAGCAGCCTGAACGAACAGTAGTTTTTTAAAACATATATTACATACTTAAAAAAAATGTATTAACTCACTTAATTCTCTCAACACCAGGATATGGTATTATTATCCTACTTTAGAGAGGAGAAAATGGAAATATTCATCGCCAGAGCAGCTCTTAACTCACCCTGACTCAATGCTAATTGCATGGCCAAGGGGGCCTCCTACGAGTATTGGTACTTCTGTCCAGTGCTGGTTGTTACCACCTCTAAGCTACAATCTGATTATCATACCAACTTCCTAAATGGTGTCCCAACCACACATAAATCTCTTTCCATTTTGTCCACCTTCAATGGGGGTATCAATAATTTGATAGTGTAAATTCTTTTATTATTTTTTTTAAGTAGGTTCCGTGTTGGGCCCCATGCCTGTCTTGGGCTTCAACTCACGACCCTGAGATCAAGACCTGAGCTGAGATCAAGAGCCCGATGCTTAACCGACTGAACCACCCAGGCACCCCTTGATAGTGTGAATTCTGATCTATTCTTTCCTGATGCCTTAGCCATTTGGAGGCCCCGTGATCTGGGGCCAGCCTGTCCCCTGTACCTTCCCTGGAGGCCCTGCTCCTCATCTCCTCCATCCCCAGCATACATATTCTTTCAGGCCCCTGGGCCTGTGCAGACAGTTCTCTTTGCTTGCAGTGCTCTGCTGACACCCCTCCCTGTTCAACCAGGAAATCCCTGCCCACATCAGAGACTCCCCAGTCAACCCAGCTCCACCTGCTTACTTATTTATAATGTACTTGGTGCCAACTTCCAGCATTGTTTTTTGTTTTTATTTTACATCACACGTAATTGCTTATTGGTTTCTGCCTGCCTTGTTCCTGGAGGGCAAGAATAGTGTATTATTCCTTCTTGAATTGGTATCCCTTTCCAGCAGTGGTCTTATCTAGGGGGCAGTTAATGGTTTTGCTGAGTAAATATGTGTCTCTGGAAATTCTTGTCAAGCAGCAGGCATTGGAAGAAATAACCTTGTTTCTGCTCGGTGGTGGTGGTATGTGGTATTCTGCTGGGTTTGAGATGCCGTGTTCTGCACCCTGAGACCTAGAGGTACTTTTTTCTTTCCTTTTCTCTTCTCTTCTCTTCTTTTCTTTTCTTTTCTTTTCTTTTCTTTTCTTTTCTTTTCTTTT